ACCCCCTGCCCCACCCCTGCCATGCTACAGGGTGCTGCCTGCACGTGCTCAGGGCCACGGTTCAGCACGACAAGAATGTTTGCAGGTGCACAGCCACCAGGGGTGCAGGCTGCCCCTTGGAGCCTCTGCAGGTCTCTAGAGAGCAGGTCACTAGGAGTCAAGGGCATCCCCCCTCCCCCCACACACACACGAGATGCAAATCCACGGAACCACGGGCAGTAAAATGGGAGGTGGTGACACTCCTTGTGGCTCAGGGGTTGGGGGGCTAGGGGCCTGGTCCTGCCCAGCGTCTCTCTCAAGGCCACCATCCTGCCCCAGCCCCACAGGGGCTCTCCAGCCCACCTCCTGCACAGACCTGGGCTCACGGAGCAGGGACCCCTGCTGGATGCATGGAGCAGGCTTTCGCCCAGGACAGAGAGGGCCTGGTGCAGGGACCCTGAGAAGAGGCTACCAGCCGCTCTCAACAGGGGAAACACTACCGGGCTCTGAATTTCGACATCCTATGAGGAATGGGAGTGCTGGGGGGAATGGGAAAAGTGTCCAAAGGGAACTTCTAGAGCCGTGACGGCCAATGCAGGGTAAGAGGTCTCCCTGCCCCTGGCAGCCCAGGCCCAGAGCAGCACCCAGCACGTGCTCAGCAACCACCAGCACAGCTGGCCTGCCAGAGAGTCAGGTAAGAGCAGGTCGCTCCGAGGGCCCGGACAGAGCCAAGGCCTGAGTACACAGGGACAATGGCCCGGCCAGGCCCCAGCGCCAGGACACAGACGTTGTGGCCACAGCCCTGTTTCTCCTCCATACAAGGATCACCACACAGGAAGGAATGTCAACCTCCCTTGGGCCTCCTAACAGCCCCCAGAAGGCAGAGCCCACCCAATGTGGAGGGATGAAAACCAAGGCCCCCCCAGGAAGAAGCTTCATCATGGCAGGCCTCCCTGCTAGCCACACTCCCAAACAGCCCAGCCCAGCCCCAGAGCCCAGCTAGGCGGCTGTCCCTTGGGTCCTACCCCAAGGCCCAGCATCCTGCAAGCCAGTGATGCCACAGCCCAGATCCCCATGGTCATAAACTGGTAGCCCAGAGCGACCTTGGGTTGGCCCATAATGCTTTCTAAAAATGTGTCATTAGCTGCCAATGCTTAACAATAAGAGATCTCACACAAAATATGGATTTCCAGATTCTCTTGAAAAACCGGATGCTGAGGCAGACGGGGCCCGCTTTCCCCCTGGCACAGCCACCAGAGAGACAGGGCTGTGTTGCTCAGCGTAGCCCTGAGCCCTGTAGCAGGCACAGTACCAGGGCCAGGCTGGCCTGGGGTGTCCCTCACGAGGCCCAGAGGGCAGGGACTGTCCCCACCTCTGCTTTGCAGAAAGGGAGAGTCCAAGAAGGCCTCCAGGCTGGGGTGGGGCAGGGAGGGCACCCACTGGCAGGAGTTCAGGACAGGTCCTCTCCACACCCATTGTGAGTACCTGGGCGGACTCAAAAGAGCTCAAACCAGGGGCCACCCGTGGAAACTCCTGCTAGGGTCCAGGGGTCCCTGGTGGCCACTTGGGGTGGGGGGGGTAGGATGGTACATGCAGAACTGGGGCTCTGGGGGGGGTCAGCCCAGGAGGATGGGCTGCCTCTGTTGGCAGAGAGGGTGGCAGGTGGCGGGCAGGGCCTCTAGGGAAGGCCAGGGGAGTCGGGAAGCACCCCCAGCCAGCCCTGAACAGCTGAAGTTGGCAGGTTTAAATTAATCGGCTACAATTTTACACAACAACATTCTCGGTGGGGCCTGGCAGAGGGCCAGCCGGGTCCCTAGAGCTCACCAGTTACTTCTTAAAGCTCAAGAAAAACCAGGCCTGGGGAAGATGGGGGCCTCTGAGCACAGCAGGCCTGCCCCTGGGTCAGCAGTGGGCAGGGGTCCCCAGGGCCCAGAACCCAGCACGTGACCAGGACAAGAGGATGAAAGGCAGCGAGGGAACACAGTGCTGCACTGGGCTGGGCCAGAGCTGCTCCCACCCTCAGCCTGGGTCAGGATGACACGTTGGGGGGGTGAGGACGAGGCAGGAGAGGACATTCTGCTGTAGGCTGGGCCCCATGCACAGCAGGGAGCAGGCATCCTGCACAGTGGGTCAAGACTAGAGGCCTAGTGTGGGGGCTGGGGGGGCTTATGGAGGTGGGGCGAGCAGAGTGGGACTGGAACCCCTGCCCCCAGCCCTGACGCTGCTTCAGGCCTCCAACTGCAGACGTGCCCCAGGGTGTGACATGGGGTTCAAGGGTGCCACGGGTCCTAGGAAACGGGCAGGCAAAGAGAACAGGACAGCTGTACTACCACGGGAGCTGGACGGAGCTGGGTCTGGTGGGAGCTGATGTGCTGGGCAGTGGGAAGAAAGACCCCCGAAAGCTGGCAGCTCAGGGCAGGCGTGGGCAGTGAGGAGCTCCTGGAGGAGGGGCTGTCCTGGACTCCGGGCTTCCTCGGAGAAAGGACACTGAAATAGGGGTCCCTGTTTCTTTCCCTCCAGGGACCCACAGGACAAGGAGAGAGGCTGCAGTTATAAGTGAGGACCCCGGAGCCAGTAAGCCTGGGCACATGCTGCTGCCATTATGTGCCTCAGTTTCCCCATCTGTCAAACGGACAGCAGAGTTGTTGTGAGGACTCGGAGAGGCACCACCACAACAGACAGCTAACTGCACTCCTGAACGGGACCAAGTGCACGTCAGGCTCTGGGCCCTGCTGGCGCCTCCTCTCATCCTTCTTTGTACTATGCTCGGGGAAACAGGCTCAGAGAGGCTAGGCAACCAGCTCCAGGACCACAGAGCTGGCGAGGGGGAGAGCTGAGACCACACCTGATCTCAGCCATTTGCATGGGATTAGGGTGCGAACAACTGGCCACAGAACATGAACAGCCGTGTGACAGCTTCCTGAAACCGCCCCCCGCCTTGAGCAGGTGGGTGCAGGTGACCGGTCCAGGGGACGAGGCTGAGGCCCGCCTCTACGGAAAAGCCTCAAAACTAATGTGCATCTAATTCCCCAGTGAGGGGGCGCTCCCACCACCAGGCCAGCAGCTCCTGGGCATGGCTCATCCCCACATACCCCAGAAAGGCACAACCCACTCACTTACAGTGCCCAGCCCAGATGGGCCCAGGGGTGGAAGGAGCCAGTGCCCAGGACGGGGTTCTGGGAGGTAGGTGCAGGGGCCAGTGGGGGAGGGACAAGCAGAGGTTTCCTTACGGAGGGGCCTAAGCCCAGCTCCCACTCCACACAATGGGCCTCCGTTTCCCCCCTGTGGGACGAGGGCAGAGAGGGAGCAGAGCAGGACCAGCTAAACTCACAGAGCTCGCACCCAGACCGTGGCCCTGAGGCAGGGGAGTGAGGCTGGAGCCAGGGAGGCAGCGGGGGAGGCAGGGCTGGACGAACCCGTTCTCCCAACCTCCTCACAGGGTGGCCTGTGGGCACAGACAGCGCCTTAGCAGCTGCCTGCCAGCCCACCAGCCTTCAAATGGGCCACTCCCAGCCCCAGGAGCCCAGCCTCCTGCTGGGCGACAGGCCCTGGGGCGCCCTGCGAGAGTGTCTCCGAGTGGCCTTCACTCTGCAGCCCTGCCCCAGGGGAGGCTCTGGCCCCTGGCAGGCCCAACCCATCTGACACAACCCCCTCCCCAGGGGGTTCCATGGTTCTTCTCCCCTGCTCTCCCAGCCCCAAGTACCCTCCCCTAAGGTGGGGAGCCCACTCCTGGGAAGGGAAAGAGCCTACACCCTGGCTGCCGATAGTACCCCTCACACAAGCATAAGGAAAGGTGGGCCACACCAGAGGACCAGCTCAGGGCATGGGGGCTTGCCCACCCCCACTGGCCAGCAGAGTGCCTGAGTTGGACAGAACCCCACAGCACCCCAGGGTGCCCCATCCTGGGATGGCCTTCAGTCAGCATGTGGGCCACCCCAGCCTACAAGCCCATACATCCGGGTTCACTTCACAGATGGGAAAGCTGAGGTGGTCACAGAGCCAGGGAACAGTGGGACATGACGGCCAGGGCACCCACCACTGCAAAGACAGGGAGACCCCCCCCTCCCACACAACCCAGCACAGAAGCTGAGAGCAGGCAAGGCCCTTGTTGGCCCCGGGCCCAGCCCCCACCCACGGGTACACGCTGGGCGGGGAGCTGTGTCAGCACCCGGCCTGGGGACAGCTGTTATTTCATCTACCAGGCCCCACCCCTGGCCTGGCTCTGGGGCTCCCAGGCACCCCCACCCCACGGTCACCCCAGGAACTTCCTCCCCAGCAGGCCAGCCCTACCCTGGTCTGGTCCCACCCACCCACCAAGTTGGGATGGAGCCACCTGCAGTTGCCCTCAGGAACCCCTCCGGAAAGCCCTCCCGTGGCTGCTCCCTGGCAGCCCTGTGCGGCTCAACGCTTGCTAGTGAGGGATGGAAGGCAGCCACCATGCGGGCCCTTCCCCCCCAGCACCCTACCTCTCACCCTGAGGAGCCCTCATGCCTCTGGAGCCACAGTGCTCCCCTTGCACCCGCCAGTGGCAGGTGGGGGTGGGGGTGCTACCCTTGCCCTGCCCTTGGCCTTGCTGTCTCTGTGCAGGGCGGAGGCCTCTCGCCAGGGCAGAGTGCTGCCTCAGCAGACACTGGATCCCCCGGAGGGGATGGGGGTCACACAGGCGTGCCCTGCCCCCCCCCCCCCCCCCCCCCCCCCCGCAGCCTTCCCAGGAGGTCACTATGTGCCCTCAGAGAGCAGCGGCAGCATCTCCAGGGCCCCTGCGGATGGCAGGGTGGCCAGACCCCTTACGTCCCTGACCCAGCCCTGGAGCCCCCGACACCCTGCCAGGGCCTTTACACCTGCCAAACACTGAGGCAGCCCCAGAGAAGGTATACGGACAGGAGGCACAGGGGAGTGGGGGCCTGCTGAGGCCCCTCGCAGCGGCCTCGCCTGGCACTGGACCTGGGCCTCCCAGTCTCCGGGCAATGCTGTCCGCCCTGGGCTCCGCCCGCCCCATCCGCCCAGCCCCAGGGCCTGACCTTGTGGATGCGGCCACTGCGCGTGCCGGCGAACACCACGGTGCGGCCCCGGTAGTCATAGGCAGCCACAGCCGTCAGGCCGTCATCCTTGTCCACGAACAGGGGCGTGCCCTCAATCGTGACCGTGCCCCCCAGAGGCTGGTTGAAGTCCTGCCCACAGAAATCATCGTCGATCTGCAGTGGCTGTGGGAAGGGAGAGGGTGAGCCTCTGGGCCCCTGCGCACAGCCCCGGGAGCCTTCTGCCTGCGGGCGGGAGGCCTTGCAGCCAGGTCGGCCAGTGGCCCCGGCTAACTGGGGGGTGGGCATGGAGGGGGCAGGGGTTCACAGAGGGTCCTCAGAGGGGCTGGGCTCGAGCGTGGCCCCAACAGATGTGGGGGATCTAGGATTCCTGGACCCGTTCGACAGAGAAGCCAACACTTGCAAAGGCCCTGAGGCCCAGTGCACATGCCCAGAGCAGGGGGAGGCATCTCCCCAGCCACTGGGCACGGGTCCCCCACCCAACCTGTGGGTGGGAGGGGGAGAGCCAGAAAGGAAGCAGCCTAGGGGAGACCAAGGAAGTAGACCAGCCACCTTGGGGACCAGGCCCACAGCATGGATGATGGCTGCACAGGGAGGGGGCTAGCCACCGGAGGGCTGTGGGGTACAGGGAGGGCTCATTTGAGACAGGAAACAGGGGTCACACCTAACAGGCAAAGGCAGGGGCCGGCTACAAAGTGGTAACTGAAGGGATGAGACGCGATCAATACGTGAGGTTCCAGAGAAGGGGGAAAGGGCCTGGAGGAGGGCAGGTTCCGGGTAAAAGGGGCCAGCTAGCTCCCCTGAAGCAGGCTCAGGGCCTGAGGTTTGCAGGGGAGAGATCACCAATACAGACGGAGCAAGGGACGCCAAAATGCAGCGGGGCTGAGGGTCCCCAAGTGGCCCCAGCAACTGGGACCCAGCCAGGGGGAGGGGATGACTGCAGCCATGCACACGGAGCATGCAGAGCATCCAGTGTGACCTCAGAGGGGCTGTCCGTCCAGGCCTCAGTTTCTCTAGCCATATAGCAGAAATCATATGCCTTCCCTGAGAGGCCAGGGGAGGGGGGACAATGTATCGGCCTGGCATACCCGGGCCTCACGGTGGAGGACGGCCCCATCCTGATGGGTGCCCCACCCCACCCAGCGGTAGACGTGACAGAGAAGGGGTGAAGGGACCCTTGCCCTGGCCCCCTGCCCTGAAGACAAACCAGTGTCACTCCCAGGATAGAGCTGGGACAACTGAGGCCAGATGGGCCAAGCTTTCCCTGGGCCACCCAGGTAGTCCCGGGCAGCAAGAGCAGAGGGGTCGAAGCCTTGCTCCCACCTGGGCAGGTCACCTCAAGGTGCCCCTGAACAAGTCCCTTACCCTCTCTGAGCCCGCAGTCTTCCTCAGAAAAACAACAGATCCTACTGCTTGGGGGCATACATACGATGCTCCCCAAAAAGCAGCTGACCCTAGGCTGGCTTCTTCCGGGCCTAGAGACAAGAGCTGTGGCTGTCGGCCACCCAGCACCCAGCACCCAGGCCCTCAGGCTGCCCCGGTATCGGGGCTGGTGCCATCATCTGGTACCAGCTGGGGCCACAGGCCCAGAGAGCAAGTGCACGGCCCAGAGCCCAGGGCAAGGATGAACAGGGCTTCCCGACAATGGACTAAGTGGGGGGATGGGTCTGGGACAGACGCTCCCCGTCTGGCCCAGCTCTGCCTCTTACTGGCTTTGTGATGCTGGGCAAGTCACCTCACCTCACTGAGCCTCCGTGAGCTCTCTGTAAGGAGGAGACAAGACAGGGTGGTGAGCGCCTGGTACGGTGCCGGACCCACTGCCTACAGGGGCTCATGGACTGCTGGACACGGGCCCATCACCCTGTCTTCAAAGAAGCGGGACGGCTGCAGGTATGGGCACAGGCTCCCAGGCCGACACCCCAGGAGCAGCCCTGACCCTCCAGGAGGCGCCCAGTGGCGGCCCCAGGCACAGGGCGAGTGCCGCAGGGTGCTGAGCTTGCGAAGGGGGGGGGGGGGGCGGGGCAGCGCCCGCACAGCACCTACTCACCGAGTTGATGCAGCCCAGCTCCTTGTTGAGCAGCCAGGGCAGCGAGAGCTTGCCCTCGCCACGGTAGCAGGACTGGATGCGCTCCTTGATCTTCTCCTTGATGGCCCTGAGCGTGAACAGGCACAGCACAGACTCCTTGGGGGGCTTCACACGGTTCTTCTGGCCCTGCGCGAACACGGTGAACAGCACGTCCTCATCCTCGGCCAGGCCCAGCTGGCGGGCCAGGGCACGGCCGGGCCGGCTCAGGTAGGCGTCCTGCACCAGGCGGTACTCCACACCCGCCTGCTCGCAGCCAATGGGGAACTCGACGTAGGAGTAGAACTTGGGGTCGTCCACGCAGAGCCGCACGATCTTGGAAGTGAAGAAGTGCTCGCCGGCGGCGTCAGGCGAGGTGAGCTGCGTGTCCAGCTGGAGGGTGAGGTAGTAGACGAACTGCTCACTGCGGAAGCTGTACACATAGTAGATGTCGAAGGCCGGGAACTTGGACAGCGTGTCCGAGGGGATCTTGAGCTGTGACGACACGAACTCGTCCTGGTACACGAAGCCGAACATGTCGGCGTCCTCCTCGTTGGCCATGAGCCGGCGGCTGGACAGCGTGGGGAAGTACTCGGACTTGCCGTCGATGGGCGTGCCCACAAAGAGCTTGGCCTGGCCCAGGCCCGGCGGCCCAGCGATCAGCACGCCGGCCATGCTGCCCGCCTCGCGCACGCTGGACAGGTAGTGCTCCTTGCGGTGGTGCGGCTCGCCCAGCTTGAAGAGGTCGTCCAGCCGCAGGAACTGGCAGATGCCCTGGGAGGCGCTGCCGCAAGCCAGCAGGCGGTTGGCGGCGTAGTCCAGGAGCAGGAGCTTGTTGACATTGTCAGTGCTGCCCAGGCCATGGGGGCACGACTGCACGCTGGGGGGCGGGTAGCACTTCTCGTTGTCCTCCACGGGCCCCGTCACGTGGGCCCGCAGCAACGTCAGGTTCCCTGACAGCTTGTAGATGCGGTTCACTGCGCCCACGTACACCTCGCCGGTCTGCTCGTGCACCACCAGGTGGGTCAGGCCCCAGTCGCTGGCCGAGAAGGTGCGGAAGGCAGGCTGCGGCCCCCCGCCCGCCCGGGGTGCCCCCGCCGCGCCCCCCAGCAGCAGCAGCAGCAGCAGCAGCCCCGGGAGCACCCGCGGGCTCGGGCGTGGCAGTGGCATGGCGGGCCGGGGCCTCAGGCCGAGGCGCTCGGGTCCTGCAGAGGCGTGCATCACGGGGCCGGGAGCCTCAGCCCTGCGGAGGAGAACGGGCGGGAGAGGGGGCGTGCGTGTGGGTAAAGCCCCTAGACGTAGGAGGGCACACACACGCACCCAAGTGCACGTGGCCATCTCACGAGCTCTGCGCGCTGCCCAGCCGGTGCTGGGACATCCCATGCTCCACCTCCAGGGGCACGGCTTAACTGCCAGAAGCCCAAGGTGGACAGAGGACCCCCTCCCCAAACTGAGGACCTGCAAGCAGGGAGAGGAACATCAGGGGTCACCAAGACCAAGCCCGTGAGCACCATGAGCAGCACGGGACGGCCAACAATGCCTGGGCCTGCCATTCCTAGGCAGAGGAGAGAAACGGACCCAGGAACAGGGAAGCAGGTGATGAAGGTCCAGGGTCCAGACTGGGATCCCAACTAACACCCCAGCCTGGAGGCCGTAACCTCCTGACTCAGAACCTCCCCATGCCTACAGAACAAACCCCCTGCCCCAGCTCCAAGCTCCTAGGGTAAGTGACCACCTCTCTGCCCAAGGCTCTGGGGACACGTGCTCCCTTGCAGGCCCTGGAGAGCCCTACTCATAGGCAACCCCCCTCCTCCCACCCCACCAGCAGATGAAGATACTCGGACCCATCACCACACAGGCAGCAATTCTCAGAGGGGCCGGGAGGCAGTCTGGGTCATCTTGGCCCTGGGGCCACTTGCTGGCTGACCCTGGCCCAGCGCCTTTCTGGACCTTGAGCCCTGTATTCCAAAGAATGATCCAGAAGCCAAGCCTTGTACACCTCCCACCCACTATACCCACCCCCAGCCAATCAGGCCCCCCCATTCTGTCGGTGCAGCACTGCCCCCTCCCAGGCTCCTCCTGCCTGCCTCTCAGCTCCCCTTCCACACCCTCACCCCAACTCTGAGGAAACAGGAAGCCCTCCGGGGGGGCTCCCTGAACCCTGCCCCCCCAGCAGTGGTTCTCTCTCCCCAGTCTGAAAAGCCCAGAGGCTGTCCTCTACCTGCCCACGGCTCCTCCCCTCCTGTCAGATCGGGCCCCCAGCATCTTTCACTGCCACACCAGGCTCCCAGCATCCCCACCTGTACTTCCCGGGTCACACTCTCCACTAAGGTCAGCATCCCCCACTAAGTCTCCCCCAAACTGCCCACCCCTCTCCCACCTGGACAACCACAGCACCTGGCCTCACCCACCATGCCCACCGACAGCCCAGGCCCCACACAGTAGCCTGGGCCATTTTTCTGAACTGCACACAAGGTCGCCGGCCCCCAAATCCTGCCATGGACACCCCCTTCCTCTGGAAAAGTCTGGTCTCCTCCCAGCCCAGCAGCGGGCAGTCAGGTGCTCGGTTATATCGAGGCTCTGTAGCCAGGTGGTGCTGACAGGAGTCACTCCTCTTTCCCAGCCTTGGTATCTGCATCTATAAAACGAGAATGACGAGCTCCTCTCTCGGGGCCAGAAGCCCACAAGGCGCCATCAGCAAGAGTACCGTCTTGGTGTCAGGAGTGGCCCTGCCCTGGCGCTGCCAGATGCTGAGGCCTCGCCCTACCCCTGGCTGGAGACCGACCACAGCCATGCTGGATTGAGACGCAGGCCGGCGCCAGCCAGGGCTGCGCACGCTCTCTGCTCCCAGACAGTGTCCCTCACATAGACTGGCAGCCCCATTTTACAGGTGGGGGAGGCAGAGGCCCACAAGATAAGTGCCTTCTGCCAAGTCCAGGCTGGGAGCTGGCCACAGGGCAATAGGCTGTCAGACAGGGCCCACGGGTCTCTGGGCTCCCATGTCTGCCCCTGTAAGCACAGGGCTCCTCTGCCCTCGGCCAGGCCTTTGGCCATGCTGTTCCCTCTACTGGGATGCTCTTCCCTTCCCTGCCCACACCCCTGCTCAGGTCTCGGCTGCCTGCCCTGACCTGCCAGCTGAAGCTGGCAGTCTCTTCCTCTCAGCTACTTACTCCATTTTAATTTGTGGCACAGGACTTGCAAATGGTTTTGTTACTTATTGTTCCCAAACTTGTGCTCTCCCCACAAGAATGGCAGTTCCACAAGAGCAGGGCCTGGCTCTCTGCATTCTCCCAAAGCTGACTCCAGGGCCCAATACTTGTGAATAAAGGAGTAAATGAATAGATCCTGGGCAGAGCAAGGCCTACTCCGTCACCTTGTCCTCACTCTGCACCCACCCTCTGCAGAGTGAAGGCCCACACCTTCCGCTCAGGTGGGGACACTGAGGCTCAGGGAAGCAGGGAGCTTTAGCCAGGATCCCACAGCAAGAGGACCCGGTTGTGCTGCCCTGCAGGACCCTCCCAGCTGGCTGTCATCTGCCTCTCCTTGAGGATCTCTGCCCAGACACCACCCCAAGAGCTACAAGCCACCTATGCTGGCAGCCAGGAGAGGAGTCCCCAGCCCCTCCCCCCATCCCTGTCCCCAGCTCAGGAGCCAGAGAACAGGCTTCTCACAGTGTCAGCAGGGCTTGGGCTGAAAGCTGAGTGCATGTGAACTCCAAAGAAAACATGAATCACTCACCGTTTATCAGTTCAAAGCAGGCCTGCAATTACCAGGGGCTGGGCTCTCCCCTCCTCCGGGATAATTATACACGTCTTAATGCAATTACGGGCCCTACTTTTTATATTAAACAGGAGAGACCCGGCTGGAGAAGCCACTGTCTAAACTCCAGGCTGGCCCTGGGCCCACTCCCTCTCTCCCCCAACAGTGGCTGCTGGCAAGGGACTGGCCATGGCGGGCGGGATGGCCAGCCAGGGAAGGGGGGATCCCAAGCCCAGGGCTGGGTCCCTCGTGCCCACCATCTCACAAAGGCCAGTGAAGACATTTCAGTCACTTCCCCCATGGAGTTATGGAGGCCAGGGCTTAGACAGACCCAAGGTCACCCAGCAGAACAGGATGAAATCCCACACTCCTACAGAAACATGGATGGGCAGCTGACCGGCTGGGGCTCATGGCCCACAGATGTCTGGCCTGCCCCAGAAAAAATGCATTTGTGCCAAAGCCAGGCCTGGGTGCTGGGGAGGACCACACTGGGTTGGGGGACGGGAGCACTGACAGATGCTGGCAGGGCATCTGGGAGGAGAGCAGAACTGGCCACTGTGGTCTGGGGAGGCTCCTCCAGGGGGCTCTTCCACCTGTTCTAAGAGAACCAGGCACACTGGGAGCTGGTGAGGAGGAGCAGAGAAGCAAGGGCCCAAGCCGGGGACTGGAACCTGCTGGACCATGCAGAGGGGCAGTGAGAATGACTGCAGCTTCCTGGCATGGGCAGTGGGCTGTGCCAGGGGGCCCAATCTGAACCAGACTGGGAAGGGGGAAGCTAAACTGGTGTTGGGTGTGCCAACTAGGGGTTAGCCAGGGACAGAGAGACCAGGACAGAGGCAGATGGGGCCACAGCACAGCCGGCTCCACTCCTGGACGGGATGGGCTTGACCGCCCAGCAGAGCGTAGAGAGAGCAACAGCGCCTTTCCTTCTCCAGGGCCTGGCAGCCACCACCACTCCTTATCCTCAGAAACAAAGACCCTCAGAGCCCTCTTCATAGAGGAAGAGCCCCAATCTCCATGCCTTCGCACTCTGGATCATTCTGGGACTTGGGCAGGTTGGGGCTTGGGGGGGCGGGGGGACAGGATGGGACAGCCATCCTGCCCAGAGTTACCCCATTAGCAACCAGGGCAGAGAGCTGTGCTGTCACCCCCCCCCCAACACAGGCCCTAGGAAGACACGGTCCCAAGCCGTCCTGCTCTCCCACCAGACAAGTCCTATGAGACCAGGATCTGGAAGCACTGGAGTCTGACTCAGAAAAAGTGCCCACCACTCGGTCCTTCCCTGAGGTGCCCTTCCCTCCTGGCCAGCGGCTCTAGACACGGGGATCTTCCTGAGGGATCAGAACGTAGAGGCAACAATCTGGGGGTGCAGAAGCCCAGCAAAGGGCTGCCTTTGTCCACAGCACCTCATTTGTCCCCCACCCCAAACAGACACCTCAGCTGCACAGACACTGCCAGACCTCCGCCTATACTGTCCCCTCTGCCTGAAACGCCCTTTCTGGGCCTCCCCGGGCCACCCTCCCAGGCTGATTTGCAGCCTGGCTCTGAAAGGGAACCACTGATGTTCTCATCCGCTCTGGCATGAGATTGGATGCTCCTCAAGGGCTGGGCAGAATTTTGGCTGCTTGGTGCCGCACCTGGTCTCTCCTGCACACCCCAAACCAGCAGGGAGTGGGGAAGACCTGGGGCTTGCTCCCTAAGGGCCAGAAGAGCAAAGACTGAGCCCCCCACCCCACCAGAGCCCCAGAGAACCAGTCCCGGCATGGAAAGAGGTGGAGCAGCAGTGAGCTGCTGAAGCCCTGCCTTAGGGAGCAGAGGCCCGGTCCACATCCCCCCCAACACACACACCCCTTTCTTTCAAGGGGCGTGGCCCCAGCACCCCAAAGATGAGCCAGGGCCAGTTCTCAGCTCTAAGCAGCCACTGGAGCCCCTTTCACCCCCCTTTCCCGGGCTGCACCTGGGATCTGAGCGGCCAGGGGCCTCCCTGGAGCCCCGCTCCCCCTTCCCCAAGGCAGCCCAGAATCAGCCCCGCCGACCCCAGCTACGCCGCACACCAGGCCCGGGACTGTCCGGGAAGCAATCCGAAGCCTCCGAGAGAAGCGGGCTGACCCTGGAAAGGCCCTGAGAGGAGGAGGCTGAAGAGGCCCGATCGAGCGGGGCGGCCTCCCGGGCGGCACCCGCACCGCCCCCTCCCAGCCCGGGTGAGCGGCCCTGCGGGCCAGGGGCGGACACAGAGCCCATCTCCCGGCACCCTGGGCCAGAGGGGGCGGGGGCGGGCGTCGGTCCCGAGGAAGCGACTCCAACTTCCACCCCAGCGCCCTGAGGGCCAGCGGAGGATGCAGCCCCGCACGACCTCCTCCGGCTCCCGCGGCCCTGCCCAGGCAGCCGCGCAGCCCGGCCCGGGCCTGCCCAGCCCAGCCCGGCCCTGCCGGCGGCCGGAG